GCCTCTTTTGGATGTTTCAGATTTGGACACACTTTTAAAACATGTCGAGTAAAATTATTAATGAACTGAAAGATAGAGGCGTCAGTTTGTCTGATTTGGGTTCTTCTGATCGTGAGATTGATCTGCTTTTGGGAGCGGATATTGTGGGCGCTTTATTTACTAATAAATCTGTTCGGTTGGAGACAGGGTTATTTTTGATTGACACTTGTTTGGGACATGTGTTAACTGGGAAGCATGAGTCATTTGGAGATAGCAATGATGATACTGTTTTGAATGCAATTTCGTTGTATGTTAGTAATTATTCGATAAAAGATTTGTGGTCTTTAGAATCCATAGGTATTTCAGATCCCATTGAAAATAATAGAAAGAATTTAGAACATTCTAGAGTTTTGGAAGAGTTTAAAAATAATGTGAAAATTCTTTCAGACGGTAGATATTACCTTTTAAATCTGATGTGGCCGATTTGCCGACAAATAAAGATTTAACTTGGAAGCGGCATAAAAGGATGTGCCAGCGAGCACAAGATAAAGCATTTGTAGAAGAATATACTACGATTTTCCGGGAATGGGAGAAATTGAATATAATTGAAAAGGTAACTGATAATGCTGAGACGGGACATTTTTTACCTCATCGGCCAGTAATTAAGGATAGTACCACTACAAAAATCAGACCTGCCTTTGACGCCCGAGAAAGCGGTAAATGCTCTTTGAATGACCTTTTGTATAAGGGTCCGAACTTACTAGAAATAATTCCAGAGATACTTGATAGGTTTCGAATTCATCCAATAGGATTATCTTCAGATATTGAGAAAGCATTTCTGATGCTAAGTATAGCCCCTCAACATAGAGATTTCTTGCGGTTTTTTTATCCGTCCGAGATTGAACAGATTGTTTACCGACATCGCAGAGTAGTATTTGGGTTAAAGTCGAGTCCATTTTTATTGGCAGCCTCAATTACACATTTATTAGATAATGTACCATCTGAATTTGATGCTATAGCACAAAAACTGAAACATTCTTTTTACGTAGATAATTGTGTTTCTGGTGTTGCAAATATTGAGGAGCAGGAAGATTTTATTGTAAATGCAAAAGATATTTTGTCACGGGGTTGCTTTAATTTAAGAAACTGGGAGAGTAATGTAAAATGTAAGTATGTTTCTAATAGTACTGGTGTCACGAAAGTATTGGGAATTTTGTGGGATCTTGATAAGGACACTCTTAAGTGTAATTTAAACTTTAATCTTGTAAGTGAAGATCAGAATTTTACTAAGAGAATCATTTTAGCTACAGTTCAGAAAATATTTGATCCAATAGGTTTGTTGAGTCCTGCAATCTTACCACCTAAGCTTTTACTGCAGGAAACGTGGAATTTAAATTTAAAGTGGGATACTCCCTTACCAGATAGTATTCAAATGTCTTTTAAAAGATGGTTTAGAGAAATAGATGCATTAAGAGATATCGAAATCTCATGTTATGTTGAAATAAATGATTCCACTGAGATGCATGTTTTCGTAGACGCGTGCAAAGAGGCATATGCCACCTGTATTTTTTTTAGAACGAGAACCTCTCAAGGGGTAAAAATTTACTTTGTTAGAGCAAAAACCAGAGTTGCACCTTTGAAGAAAGTAACGATCCCTAGGTTAGAGTTAATGGCTTGCTGCATTGGTGCCAGGTTGGCATATTCAGTGAAGCAGGCTTTAAATGCCCATGAGATTAAAAACAATATTTTGGAGCGACTCTAGGGTAGCTTTATACTGGTTAAAAGAACGTGGTGATTGGACAGTTTTTTGTCTCGAACAGAGTAAAAGAAATAAATAATCTGTTTCCTAATAATGAATGGCGACATGTGCCAGGGAAAATGAATCCCGCTGATCTGATTTCGCGAGGGTGTTCCCCTAAGAAATTGTTAGAATCCTGCTGGTGGAAAGGCCCGGCATGGTTGTTGCAAGCAAGAGACAACTGGCCTGACACCGAAATATTGATAACAGAAACACCCGAAATAACACTTGAAAGGAGAAAGGTTAGGTTATGTAATATTAATTTGTTGGAAGAGAGAGTCCCGTGGTATGCCATTAAATTCTCAAATTTCCATTCAATAGTTAGAATGGTTGCATGGATATTGAGATTTATCAGTAATGTAAGATCGCGTCATGATACTAGACAAGGGGTAGAACTGTTAAGATGCCACTTAGACTGAACTTGATAGACTTGAATGTTTTGAGTAGCTATCCAGCAACTCAAAGGGGGGAGGATGTTGGGAATGGCATCACTAAGCCAACGAATCAAAAGCCAGATAGAGACTGACGTCATGGGACGCCAGAGGAAAACGAACAGTTCCGGTTTAGTTAGCTAAGGACGATGTTTGCATGATGTGATTAGATAGATATTGTAGCTAGATAAATATTTTTTATTCTTTTAACTTGTCTTTATGTGTAAATAAATCTTTTTGCTTAAGTTTAAAGAAAGTGCTCCATTTATGACAAGATAGCTGTTAATTCATCGGGTAGATGACTTACGAATCCCTTCTGAGCTAGCCATTGTTCGAACGTAACGCCTTACGTAACATATCAATCAGTTTAAATCTCGTAAGATGGCATGCAGAAATTCTAAAATTAAAAATATGAAACCGTAATTTATGAAATAAAGAACAATTATGATCTAAAGGATATCAAAATTTGCAAAAAGAAAAAGCTTAATATTTATTTGTTTACTTTATTAAACATTTCTTTCAATGTAAGTTGTTTAAATTTTGCTTCGTTTCATGTGATAATACTTTCTCTTTAATTCTATTGAACAGACATAATTTCTTGTTTTACAAAGTTCCGCTGTTCAAGTCCTATAATTGCTGTGTCGAGAACACCGACTAATTTGTCAATCGAAATTTTTTCGTTTTCAATAACCTCTGTCACTTTTCTTCGCTATCGGAAGCGAATTATAATGACGAGGAACTTGTTTTAAATCATATCAAAGGGAGCATATCGAGATGAAATACTACATTTGGTAAGGAATTATAAGCCAAATAAAATAAAAACATCTGCGCTGAAGATAAGGATAGTGCTGACAGATCAACTTCCAATTCATTACGCGGCGTTCCCCCGCCGAGCAGCGTGAAATTGATAAACAGATTTCGGATTTCAAAACATACTTTTGCTTTAGATCCTTTACATATTAACAAATATATATCGGAAAAATTCTATTTGATATAATCGAAAGTTTAAACTTACTTTTATAAAATTGCTCTTACAGTCTGCAAAAAATAATAAGCCGGAACCAATTCGAAAATTAAGGAACAATGCAATCGTCAACATTAACTGAAATAGATAATTATATAATTTTAGCTTATACGTCCATTATACATAAAACGCGCACGCGAAAACGTATTCTGCACTTGCGCACACTCACATGCGCAGTCGTAAAAGGTCTTACTCGCACGCCTAAACGCCTGTGCGCATGTGTCAACGCGGCGCATGCGCAGAAAGTTTTTAGTTTTGAGGTCCGGATTATAGATCATTCCGAATTATGGGTGTCTGAATTAACGACTTTTGACTGTATCTCAGTTTCTATAGACATATGTCGCCATCTTGTACTAAAAATATTAGTTTCTAAAACAATTCAAAACTCTATCATGAATGTGTGGCCTCCAGGGATTAACGAGAAAATTCTGTCACACTGGTATGCCAGCTGGGAAGTAAACATCCTTTGTGCTGGCATGTATGCGTGATCATTGATTGGAGAGATATAATCAGGAGTAAACTCTGTCTTTGAAAAATGGGCATATGTGCAGTGATGATTCATAGCAGTAGCCGAAAAATACCAACTGAGTCTGAAGGTGGAAAAATTAAATAAACTCTGTATAATTCATTTTAATGATTATATAGGCCTTCTCTCTATGTACCTAGTACACGAACATGAAATTATTGCAAGACTGATATTTCGTTGAAAATTTCATCATTTGATTTGATAAAAATTTTCTGAAATAACTGAAGTGAAAAAATGGAAAGACGTATTTCTTCAATAAATATCTTATTATTTTCATTAAACTAAAGTTTTAAAATGGTAGAAGGCTAGATTATGTTAAGTTATTTTTTAAATTATTATTAAGGATTTTGTATATATGTAAATAATTTTAGTGAAATTATATGTGATACTGTAGTATCTTTTGTACAATGTAACATGAAATGCTTGAAAAAGGGAAGCTCTGCTGGAAAAATATAGTTACCCTGGTAAGTCTGTCCATTTCACTAAATTGGCGAGATGCCGCTGGGCTGGCGACGGTTTGTGCAACTAATTTTCGTTGCCAAATTTAGCAAAAAGTGCCTCAAAATCATCAAACATGTCGCCCATTTGGCGACATTTTGGTCTGGCCCCTGTATAACTGTAATCGATCCCTATATATAACTGTAACTATATCTGGACCTTATATGTAGCTTTAACCATATACAGTTATCATTACTGAAAGGTATATATGCATTTCAGTAATTTTGGGGAATGGAGGTACTAGAGATTTCTTGGCAGCTAGGGAAAAAAGTATATGCCTGGTATAAAGTATATGAGAGAGCATCAGTTTTCAGTTTTTAATGCAAAGCTGACTTCAGAGTATTGAGAGATCTCCGTGAAAGTTTCTTTTTTTAGGTGTGTTTTGCAATGCATTATGTTAAGTTCTTAGTAGTCTGAAGTATAACTACTGATAGTGCTCTGTGATACTAAGCAGAGCTGTATGAGTACTTTTGTGGAAAGTTTCAGAACTGTAAAATGTATCTTTTGGGAAAATAAATGTTATCAAACTATCATCAGTTCTGTGTGCATTCAATCCATTACGAACCCGTATGCACACAATATTATTATAGCTGAATTCATCTTAGCTGTTATATTTTAATAAGTTATAAAATTACTCTTTTATGCTATGCTGAATGCAAATATTTACAGTTATATTTATTTTAATGTTACACATTTTAAAAGCAATATTTTTTAATAATTGATTGTGTGATTTTTCATTTTCAGGAGTTCAGTGAACATATATATACAGTACAAGGGGCCATTCAGGAAATAAAGGACAAGGCAACTTTACAAAGGCTTCAATTTTTACCATATACATTACAGATTAAAAGTCCGTCTCCCGATGCTTGCAAATTTGGTAATTATGTGGCATGAATATAATATATATATCACTTTTAATAATTATGTTGCATAAGTGTGAATCCTTAAATTATAGTTTGAGTAAAATTTGAAAAAATGTATCGTTGCAAATAAATTTGAATGCAAACACATTTCAAAATAATTAAATGATCTAAAAGCAATCAGTCAGTGTAATTAAGTAATATGTTAGTCAAAGTTATTCATTATTTTTTCCAGAGCTGTACTAAAAATATTCAATATTTAGGGAGAAAATGGGGATGAAAGGGGAAAAAATGTCTGAAAATCCTTTTAATTCTCTTTCCTCACCAGTGTCTTTTGTCCCATATCCTAAGTACTGTATCCCTCTTTCCTAAGAATCTTTTGTCCTGTATGATTTGATTTCTTTAATGTTCCGAATAACATTGAGAAAATAATACACATAGTTGAGTTTTGTGTAGATAATATTCTGCAGAACTTTATTATTGTTAGAAGCAGTAGGAAGTGTTCAGCATGTACATAAAAAAAATTTGAGTTTCTTATATTTTCTAAACTATGTAGTGAGACACATCTATGTAGAATATCCTGGAATAGTCAATTTACAGTATTAATAATAAATTATCCAATTAAAGGAATAAATAAATTATAAAAATAATAAAAAATAAATGAATTAAATATAAAGTTATACTAATAATAAATTAATCAATAAAAAACAAATAATAGTAAAAAATCCTATTACACAAAAATTTTTAATTTTATATACTTTTTTTTAAATTTATTGTTGTTATTACTATTTTGCTATTAAAAAATCGGCTGGAAATTTTTGAAAACAGAAGTATATACAAATAATATTTTTGTTGTTTGTAATTCGGACGCGAATGAACTTTGAATTTTGTTATGAAATCCAGCCATAACGCAGTAAACTGTAACTGGTATGTTTATTTGACATTAAGTTTTAATAAAAGCATTAATGCCCTGAATATCAAGTTGAATTTTTTGCTTTATGTATATGTTGTTGCTGAAAGTACTAAGAAGTTTCGCCGAAGAACTGCTAAAAGTAATGTGAAAAAAAACATAACTCTCATGACAGAAAATTATGTTTTAAACTATTTATCAGAATATGAGTACTAATTAATAATTGAAGGTAAGTCTTTATTGTCTATTTTCTTTTGGAAGTACTGCATACTAAAAATGACTGATTATTGAGCATTGAGTCTGATAACAGAAAAATGTATAAAAGCTATCCGCTGTGGGGAGAGATGCCTATGTAAGACGTTGCTAAGAAAAAAATGGCTCATATTTATGTTTGATAGGAAATTCATATAAATCTTCATGCAACCAGCCCATTTCATTGCTGGGAATTAACTAATATTTCTCACCTTCTAACATTTGATCATTGATCAAAGTAAACATCGATGTGATAGTGAATGTCTATGTTTCCGTAAAATCTAGTAAAATGACAGCATATTCCCACTTCTCATTTTTCTCGTATATAGCTATGTTTATCATTGTAGTGGTGTGTAAAATTGACACCTTTTATTAATATTCATATTTTGAACAAACATATTATTTGATATATTTTTATTTCAGCACTTGAATATTCAAAAAAGACTGGAGATTATTCTAGTCTCTCTGCTACTGATCTTCAAATTATAGCTTTGTGTTATCAATTAGAAAAGGAATTTGTTGGGACTGATCACATAAATAAAGAACCAACCTGCAAGGTAAAGTTAATCACTCCTTTAGTTTCATTATTACTTTTATTTTTTGCATTAAAAAAAAGGCTAATAAATACAATAATACTTAGTACTTGGGGATTATCTTGTACCTTCCAATATGTCATCCAAACTACCAATTATGACTTCCCACTCTGGAATCTTCAGAAATAATTCACATTTTGTTTAATATTTGGGGTTTTAAAAAATGTCAATGACAGAAAGGAATCTTGAATGAAAAAAAGTTTAACAAGTACTGCACTAACTTTTTGAGAACTTTCATCTTGACAATATTATAAAGATGTTCTGTGCTTAAGCACCTGTGCCTTCTCTAGGATTCGTACCTAACCTAAAGGCTGTGGCTGTTTGCTCTCCTAGTAGCAGGACAGCAGTATGAGATATGTAAAATTTTTTATTTGATATAAAAATGATTAAGAATAACTGTATTAGCAGTATTATAAGTTGGCTTTGCTTTTGTTTCATTGTTTTATATTTAGTGTTTTATTCTGTAATTTCTAATTTATTCTAATAAATATTTGGATTTGAATGTCATTTAGAAGTAATTATTCCAACTTAAATTTTTAAATCATCTCATACTAGAAGCATGCAGAGTAAGGAAATAATTTCTAAAAAGAGCAAGAAAATATCCATAAATATTAATTGACTTGCCAACATTCTGTTTATTTAATTGAGTGAAAAACAAATAAAATTAGTGAAATTAATGTTGTTAAATTAAATTAGTGTGGGTTACTCAATATGTTAGCAGTGTTAAATGAATTAAAAAAAAGTCTTCTAGATAATTTTAGATTTTCTACTTACATGGTGCTTTTTATCTTCTATGTAAAAAAAATGACTTATTTGATTTGTTATTGTGTAACATCAACCAAATAAATAATATTAACTTTCCTGCCACATGAAAATAAAATGACAGTTTATCTGAATGAATCAATTTGACTTTTTTTTTTTTTTTTTTTTTTTGACTTTGCATTTAAAATATCCAAAAGCTCTAAGCTCTTTGTCTTTAGCTAAATGTAAATAATGCACATTATATATTCTATAACCCTTTTTTTTTTTTTTTTACTCTGCTTTTCTGATTGCATCTGCTGTTGCTCCATTTATTGATCTGAGACTTAATTTTTATAAATTTAAAAGATAGAATAAGAAAGTCAAAGAATATTGTATTGAAAGGTTTGTAATTACATTACAATTAAATGCATTTTACTTATTTCAGGTAGGTTTTTACTGCATATATTAAGATATTCATAATGTACTGCAAGAAACCTTTTTTCAAATTACAAGTTTCTCTTTTCATGATTTGTATTTCATTTTTTACAATTGTTTCTGTATTCTTTATTGCTTGCATACTTCTACTAAATTTCATGATTTGTTTTACAAATTCTTTTAAAAAAAGACATCACTTAAAAAAATTTTGCTTTTATGAAAAAGAATTTGCGTGCATAAAAACAGCAAAAGCATGTGTTTATTAGTCATGTCTAATCTGCCCTCAGTATACATAACTATCTAGGATTTTCGGTCATCTGCTTCTTAATCTGATCTTGTAAAGTACAGTTGAAGAAATTACTGATGTTTTCTTTTTAGGCATATAAGAATTTTCATAAATTCCCAAGAGTTTACCCAAGAGATGGAAGCCGAGGGGATAATATTATCACAGTTAGATGCCTGAATAATGTTTCTCATCCCAGTATTTTGTAGTTAAGATCACAGCAATTCTTTAGCAACAAAATTTGGATTTATGAGAAAAGTGCATATAAAAAAAAGTAGGAAGAGGAGAGGGAAGAAACTATGTTGAATAAGTTAACAGTTAAACATGAATAGCATAGCAATAAATGAAATGAAGATTTAACTATTTTTGTAGATAAAGACACATGGTGTTGCCATGATAAGCTATATAGTACAGAACATACTTGCAAGCGCAAAATGTAATTGGAACATGTATATAAAAGGAGGGACTAAAAAGGAATTTCAGAACTATAAAAAATTTGAAAAGGAATAGTAAAAAAATGAGAAAATATTTAAGATTAAATAAAATGAAAATTTAGTAAAGTAAGAAAAACTTATTTAAAAATAAGGTTTGAATCATTGTGCAAGGAATTAGGTGATGCGAAGTAGTAAAGCTGTCAGAGAGTTGCCATAATTTCCGACCATTGATACGAGACGTTAAAGTGCTAAATAAATAAAACATGTCAAAAGCAAGTAGGTAATGGTTTGTTTTACTCTGATTAAAAAAAAAAAAAAAAAAAAAAAAAAAAAAAAAATCAGTGAACCAGTCTAATAAAAAGAAAACCTAGAATAATAAGAAAGACACAAAGGTAATCCTTTTTTCTCCAATCATATTTTAAAGTTGATTTTATTTTCTTAATTATATCATTTTCTTTCATGTGGTTAAGAAATTGGGAGCAAGTCCTTTTAAAAATATAAAGACAAATCAAAATTGCTTCAGTTATCTTTTTTGACAGCTTATTTCTTTCATCCAACCACTGAGTTCACATTAAGGAAAACATTCTCTCAACATTTGCACACAAGAATGGCAAATATGCATTTGCATAGCATTATTAGACATGACTTCTGTTCACCATATTTTGTATCTGCTAAAATCTTGAGCCATTTCTCCCATGATCAGTTTCATAGTTGCTTTGCAGTTTTGGTTGGTTTATTTTTTTTTTAAGTAATCTTCTAGACATACAAATTAATTGAATATAATTTTAGTGTTCTAATATCGATGTTTCTTGCATGTAAATATGCAGTAGTATATTTTGTTTCTTTCCATTTAGGAACTTGGTTGAGAGTCATCCAGTCGAAATTGTTTTTGTGAAATGATTGTGGCCATTTCTCAACATATTTTGAAGCACTATTAAAGAAATCAGTGCCTTGTTTTTCGAAAGTTTCCACTTTGGTGTTTCGGGATTGAGCTTTTTTTTTTTTTTTTTTTTTTTTTTTTTTTTCTTTGTCACCATTCCAATAAAATTTTTTCAATTTTTTGCTTTCGATCATATTTTGTTTTTTCTCTTGTAGTACAGACTTTACTTCATGTCTGTGATATTTGACTTTTTTAAATTAGAGATTCAAATGTATTAAGAAGACGTATTGTGAGTCGAGAGAGAAAATAAAATTTTGAGCAATTAAGGGGCATGAAATAAGTGTAGTTTTATGTGCTTTTTTCAGTTTAGAAATAATTTTTTTTATCTAGGTTTCCAGGCAAGTTTTGGATTGGGTATAACATCAAGATATTGACTGATTTAGCCCATAGGACAGCAGTTCTCAACTCTTTGATTAACTTGTACCATCTAAACAAAAATTGAAAAAACTTTAGTACCACAACTAAATTTTACAATCATTCTTTTTCAATTTCTGAATAGAAATATTAAAAAAATATATATACGTATTTCGTCATTTTAACAACCTACTGAATATTTGCATTTATAATTTGGGGCTGTTTAAGAGAGATGAATTTCTGTATGTCTGGCCTTATTTCACTTAGCTTTAACTGTAAATTAGGATCTGTTATTTTAATTTTGTTCTGTATTTATTTTTCAAATATAACATGGAAGAAAATCCTTGTTCATACAAATAAGTTGTGCAAAAAGGCAATAACAATTTTAATAGCTTTATTTGAAATAAATGCCTTTAAAATCTCTCCCTCCCCATCGCCAACTGTTAACAAATGTGTTATTTTTGAAATCTTCAGTTAGAGTTTGATCACCGAAAAGGTTTATCAGTTGTTCTTTTTCTTCACGAGATAAAATTTCAGATACATTTGAACAAAATGGACATCTAATCCAATTTTCTTTTTCATAATCCTCGGCAAAATGTATTTTGAAATTATGTTCAGTTAGAAAACTTTCTAAAAGTGGTAAAGAGCTTAAAATATTATTATCCAATTCTTTGATTTTTCTTTATCATTACTTTTATTTTACCTCTAATGGTACACAAATTAACATTTTGTCCTTGTAATCCTAAATTCAATTAACATTCAAAAAATATCAGCTAAATATGCTAAACATGTCAACCATAATTCACTAAATAAACAATTTTGCAATTGAAATTTTGACTCCCGAAGGAAATTTTGAATTTCTAATCTTCTAAGTTTGAAAACACGATTTAAAACTTTGCCTCTAAATAACCACCTCACTTCAGAATGTAATAAAAGCATTTCATGTTCACTGCCCATCTCTTGGCATACAATTATAAATATTCTTGAATTTAAAGCTCGGCTTTTAATAAAATTAACAATTTTCACAGCTTGATTCAAAACCATTTTCAGATTTTTGGGGATTGTTATGGCTACTAAAGCTTCACAATGAATGGGAGCAGTGAGTAAATTTAGCTTCAGGTGTGACTTTCATTATTTGAGAAATAACACCGGAATGTTTTCCTGTTTAGGGCCGAGCTCTGTCACTCATTCTCAGACATGAAATTGTAAATTACTTGTAATTTTTATTATTAAAATATTGAAAATTTCATTTGCAGTTGCTCTATCGTGAGGAGATTAAAAAAATAAATACTCTTTGGCAGTTCATTCATCTTCTTCAAAACGTATGTAAACTAATAATTGAACAAAGTTCGTTATATGAGTACTTTCATCCAGTTGTGATGCGAAATACTCATTTTGTTTTATTTTTTAAATAAGTGTCTTTTTTATGGAATTTGTCATTTAATGAATTCGCCGACTAACTGTATCATTTGATAACAGTATATTATTAAGTTCATTGGCTGCCTTTCTTGTTAAATGATGTTAAAAGGATATCTTTATCAGCTGGTAATATGAGATTTTCTCCAATAGTGTGAGCCTGTCCAGTCTTCACAATTCTTAATCTTACTAGATAACTAGTTTCCAAAGCTTTTTTACTTGAATCAACAAAACCCTTCATCACTTGTTTACTAATTTTGAGCTCCGATGATTTCCTTTTAAAATATTCTTTATGATATCCTTTAAATAGGCATACATAGATTCAAGATGTCCTTTGACAAATGATGGTTTCATACTTTGATTGGATAATAGTTCATCTCTAACAGCATGTTGAGGTTGAGGGTCCATTTCAAGTAAACCCAAATGATAAATAACTTTCATTATTTTTTCTATAAACAATTTTAATTTTATTTTCAATATTCTAAGTGCTAGTAGAATGTCCTGGATCCATCACCCGTGAGTAATCATTTTTTCGCTTAGTCAAGCCTAGCCATTTTTCCATTTTAAAAATCTAGGTTTGTTTTATTATTTTTTCACAAATATTTAAATATACAATATATTACGAGTTCTTCAAAAACAAACAACTATTATTCTCAATTCGCGTAGAAAAGTAAGAAATACAAAGCAACAAGAAAATAAATACCTAATGTTAGAGACAACAGATCGATGTAAAAAAATTATTCTAATTTTAAATAGAGCAATTTGAGCCTGGAAATGATGGCGACAAAGTATAGACAGGCTAATAAATCAACTCTAATGAGATATTGTTATCTTTTTATAGAAACTTTTTATTTCCTATTAAATACAACATCCAATTCTATAACTCCTTTTTAAAACATTATTTATGACAAATTTGGTTATGTCTATGGCTAAAAGAATATTCGTGAAAATAAAAACGGATTGTTTTGCTTGTTGGAGTATTTAATTTTTTAATTTAGTAGTTAAAAGTACTTTCTTTCTTTACGTACCACCTATTTTTCTCATGCGTACCAACGGCTCAAAACCACAGCCATAGGATAATTATTACATATATTTAGATATAAATATTTTCAGGAATATTGGAAATGTGAGGTGTATTGTTTGCAAACATGTCATTTACACGTTTGTATATTGTTACTTTACATATCAGAAAATGCAAATGAACACCCCTGTGGATTGTGGACTTGAAATTTCTGATGTGTAAAGTATTTGATTGCTGTCAAGAAATGATGAAATGTTTTCTCGCATGATGATTAAAATTGATAAAAAATGAGTTGCTTGTTTTTTATTAATTCAGTTTTTACTATAGTTAGTCTTTTCTTCAAATACTCTTTAATGAATATTTAATTAATTAAAAAAATAAAATCACCTTTGACTTGTGTTGCAGTGCTCTCAGTACTCTATACCAGATATTTGATTTCTTCCACATTTTTTTTTTCCCCCCATTCTTTTGTACAAGATATTTTGGTTCAGTAGTAAAACCAACCAAAATCTGCAACATCTTTCTGATATCAAAAGTTTGATATTAATAAGACAGTGAAACTTCTGAACTTCAAAAATTATTTTAGACATGAAATTTATAATCCTCAATAATGTACTATTGTTAAAAAGTATGTTGTTGTACACACAATGTTGTGTAATTTAAGTAGATTTATTTCCAAATTTCATAGGAGTTACATTTTCATATTTGTAGTAATGACAGTAGTTTCTTATTTGTTTTATGTATTGAATTTTTATTGAACTATAATTTGCTGATAATTATTTTTATTATGCCATAGGTTACAGGGAAATCACCTTTTGGTAATAACCAGTTAAGTGGATTTTATTATCCTCGGGTAAGCATTTTAAAGGTTTTCTGTCTAAATTAACACTGATAGAACAACATAAGATAGGTCGAGCATCAGAATTTTAAAAATGATAGTGATTTTTGTTTTATTCTGTTTGACATGCAAGTTAAATATGAAAAATAAGTTGAAATAGCATTTAACTAACTATACCCAAGCTTATATTTTTTATCCATTGTTTGATTTCTTTGTTGTAAACATTTTTCTACTTCAACTGTTGTCATAGTCTGCCATGGTCTTAACTGCAAGTCTGTCTAGTTTAATGGACAGAAAGACTTAACTATTGTAACATTTGTTTTTGAAGCAACATTTATTTCAATTCTTTCTTCTGAGCTTATATTATACACCGAAGAGCCAAAACATTATGACCACCTACTCAATAATGCAGTGCATGACCTTTGGCTTGTCAAACAGCTGCAACTTGCCTTGGCATGGATGCCACAAGTTCTTGGTAGGTGACTGGAGACAGGTTGTACCAAATGTCTAAGCAGCAGTCATGCAAAGTTGAGATATTCTGACATGGTGGTGTTTGAGCTCTGAGCTGCTACACCATGACATCCCAAATATGCTGTATTGGGGACATTATTTGGAATTCATCCTTTTGCTCCTTGAACCATTCCAACACAGTTTGAACCTTGTGACATGGTGTGTTATCCTGCTGGAAGATTCCATTTCCAGTTGGAAAGACAGACATCATGTAAGAGTGCAACTTATCCACAGTTATATTCAGACAGTTTGCAGTTTTCATTGTCTGTTCTACTGCACTCCCTAGACGTTGTCCATGGACACATTCAAAAATTTTCACTTAAGAAGTCAAAGGAGCACCCAATTCTACAGTAGAGCCAAACAAAAATTTTATAATCTCAGTAAACTACATTTTAAATCAAACAAAATAACATAAAAAAGAAAATTCATCTTATGCATCTAAGCACTACACAAAGCAAATATCCACTTAACTTATTTAAAAATTTCTGAGTCCTTCAGTGTGTGACACACAAAACTCCTTAACAGCATCCAAAAACTTCCTAAAAATTATCTGAACTAGAATCCGTATAACGGCGGCACCATATAAATTCACAAAAATAAGAGTAAAAAATACCCTCTGTAGTGCCGGCATCCTCCGACGTTCAACCATACGCTTTTCCTTCCTACAAACAGGACACTATAATGGTTAATAACCCCCTTTCACTTCAAATCTTACAGAAACTTGAAATTAATCTTACCACATTCAGCCATTTTATCATCTAAACCACAAAACAATGTATTTCCTAACCAACACACACCACAAGTCCTTACAAATCTTTTTCCCGTCATTCAAAATTTACGGCAATCGCGTAACCAATTATGTTATAATAGGGTCTCCATAACATTCAACTACTCAGGTTACCATGAATGAAATAACAACTTGGCGATAAATGAAACAACAACTTCGCAATAATACAAGGGGCACCCTTCAATCTACTCTAACCACAGAGGATGACTGTTGCTCATTTTCCAGGCTGAATTGTGTTTTATTGGCAGGATGAACATTCTTAAATATATTATAGATTTGCATATAGCCCTTAGAATCTCTAAACTTAGTATCTGATGAAAACCTGTGGTATTATCCAGAAAAATAATAAAATGCCAGCAGAACCATGTAACTAGTTTACCTGAAATAAAAGATCTGCTGTTGGAAGGGAGAATGAAAATTGATGTTATTTACATCTCTGTACACCATGCAAGACAGCTACAATATGCAAGCTATGTGTAAGATATGTAACAGTTAAAGCTGGTACAAATGTTCTGGCTTGTTAAGGAATTATACTGTATTGTATGAAATTTCAGGAGGGGTAATTGTTTTGTCTGCTAATATGCAAAGTTGTCAAACTTCCCAAAAACTACCATGAAACTTTCAGGGGGTGATCATGAATGTTAATAAAACAACAAAAAGTGTGACATTTTATAATAGCCCAAAGTCTCCAAAACAATGCACGGAATGTGGCTGACACAGCCACAGAGCTGTATACAATTTGTATCTGATTTACAAGGTCATGGTATGTATGATAAAGGTATATTCTTGGCAGGTGGTATGCATGTCTTACCACCTGCCAGGAATGCACAGTCATTATTGTTGGAATAGTGTGATATAGAACATGGGCATGTTTGACTACTAGTAAGTAATGTTGTATATCACTAATAATACCTTGTATGCAGTGGCATGCTATCTGTGGATATAAAGATTAGGCTAATCCCCTAAAATTTTAGTATTAACACTTTTAAGTGTATTTTTTCTTAACATATAAAAGTATTAAAATTAACATAGTTTTACCTCTTTTGAAACCACATGCTATTTAAGTGTAGTTAGGTTTTCATTCAAATGGGAGGAGCTCGAACTGTTTTATCTTTAAGCAAGGAGGCATTTCACCTGTTCCCACAGCTGCCTTAGACATGTTGTTAACTATTGGCAGAAGGTTGTAAAATATTTTTTATTACTTATGACTCTTAAAGTAAATTAATTTTAACTTAGGGCTGTATACTAGTTCATGAAAGTGTTTTGGGAATACATAGAGTTCAAAGTAAAAAATATTCATGCAGTAATTTTGGGTTTAAACTGTGGAGAGGGAAGTGGTATGAAATGCTAGTCCTCATACGATTGATTATTATGGAGTGTGCATAAGCAGTCATTGATGTACTTTTCTGACAATGTGCTTGCTCCTTATTTGTAACTGTCAACCTATGGTCTCAATAGCTTGTCTACTATATTTTTTATAATGATAATATATTTTAAAAGCAATAAGAAATAATTACAAAAGGGGGATGTATTCTATATATTCTTACTTGTACAAATAAGAAACATTATTACCAGGGTCTCCTACTCTGTGACCATTGGTGCCATTATGCCTGCTGATGGTTTTACATGTGCCTGCTGCTGTGACACTTCAATGAAAACTATTTAAGTTTTCAATAACGTATTATATATTTTTGTATAGTTAGTGATTAATTAAAGATATAGAAACATATATGTTTATAATTAGTATATATTTATCATTTTAAATGTACTTTCCATTATGTACTGGTTTGACTAGTATTATCCCAGTTTGAAGGTATGGTATTGGTGCTTTGGCCAGTTAGTAATTTTGCTTCAGTTATTTGTTAAAATTTAAAAACTTACAAACATTAAAAATATTTTTTAATGCCTCCCTCTACTAGTGTACTGTATGCCACTGTTTGTACATGGTTCCATACACAGAGCGTAATTATTTGTTTTGCATTGGGGTGCTAAAGGGGAATCTTCATTTTTTTGTTAGTTATATGCACATATGTTTAATGTACATGTTCCAACGTTATTGTTAGTGTTTTCTATTTCATTGTTTTTATGTGTTTTATTATTTTAATACCAAAATAAGTGATTCGAGTAAAAGACGTGAAACCTATGATTTTAATGCTGACTGGAAAGAATCGTATTATAAAAATCACTGCATTTGTTTGTTGTGCAGCAGCATTGGAGTGCCAAAAAACATAATGTTGAACATCATTTTCTGACAATTGATGCCGCTTTTAATTTAACCATATTAAATAAATCTGAAGAGAGAAAGAATTGGCTAAAATCAAACCTCCCTGCTCAACAATAAGTTTTCACTAAGCCTGTGGTAAAATATAAGAATATGTCACTATTGTTTCTTTCAAAATTTCTCACATGCTCACAAAGAAGAAAAATCTTTCCAGGATGGTGAATTGTTAAAAGAGGTTTTTCTAATCAACATGAAATATCATCTTTTGTCAGCGCCTACCAGCGGCTGAGTGGTAAAGTCCCTGAACAGTGGTAGTTCGTTCCGAGGTTCGAATCCCGCAAACTGGCTGGCTGCATGGGCGTTTTCGTGGTTTTCCCCATGTGTAACATGTATACGAGCCAGTTTCCCTTAGAAAGTCCTCCACGAAGGCATTCCGCCTCCTTAGTCAGATAGCCCTCGTGTGCTTTGCCATAACTCAACACACCAACACCATCTTTTGTCAGCAATACAAGATTTGCAGTTATGTAACACGATCAAAAAAAGAATACATGACATTTTCGAAATCATGATAACTCAGCTAAAGCGTGACTTGGAAATACATAACAGGTTCTCACTACCACAGGTAATATGTCAGACAATGCACTGTTAGCAGTTATGGTGAGAATATTAAGTTGTTTTCCTGAAAAAGAAGACTTGTTGAAAATATTAACGATGAAAGGACAGACAAGAAATGATGATATTTACAACATATGCAAAGTCAATAGACATGCCTCTGCATAAGCTGTTGCCGATAACCACTAGTGGGACACGACCAGTGGTTGGTATTATTAGTGGACTCAATTACTCTCTTTAAGAAACATAAATCATATGAAGATTTGTGTGGTAGAATATTGCCTTTCAGACTCATCATAAAAATAGTTACAAGAATAGTTAATTTATTTGAGCAGCCCCTTTGCAATACTGATTTTTAAGGCCTTACTAGAAAATCCTAACAGTCATGATCTTATTCTGCAAACTAAAGCAAAATGACTAGATAAAGACAGATTTCTTGCAAAATTCATAAATTAATGGGAGAAAATAATAAATTTTCTAATAACAAAAATAAAAACTTTCCTGAACTAATGGACTTTCACTGGTTGGCGGATTAAGGTTTTCTCACAGATGTAATTGAGAAGCTGAATTATTTATACTTAGAACTTCAGGAAAAGGACAAACATGTAGCTTTGATAGGGTCCAATACTTGTATTTAGCTAAATTGTTTTTGTGAATAACACATCTGAAAATGAAGTAACTTGTGCATTTCTCAAATATGAAAGGAGGAAAAAAAAAAAAAAAAAAAAAAAAGGTGAAGCAGAAACTGACTTGTCCTCATTTGTTATCAGCCTTCAATTGCTTCAAGACCAGTCTGAAAAACAATTTCAACATTTTAATATTATCAAGTCAATGGTCACCTTTTATATCAGTTTTTTGCTTGCCAAGTAAATGTAACCAAAATAC